TAAAATTTGGCCAATGGAATTTCCTATCCTTAAAGTATGACTAGAGTAAGAACAAGGCTGGACTGGTAAAATTGCCATTTAAATAATTTAGTCAAAATCAGGTATTCAAGAAATCTCAAACTATCAGAAATCATTAGATTAATTCAAAGATTATGAAATATAAAAGTATTGATGTCTTTATTTGTATATTTTGAGTCCGCGTTTCAATCTTTCCTTTGCAACCATGTGGACTAGATCTTAGTCCACTTAAGTGCCTGCCCCTGATCCTATTCCAGCCTACTTGAGTTACTAAATAGACATTAACACAAAAGTTGGGTGGGTTCTTCTCCAGTGCTTTTTATGACTTCAGGTGAAAACAACACCAGCTAGATGTGTCCAGAGTTGTTCTAGGGTAATAATGTGATTCTGGGAGAGCTTGTGATGATCTCATGAGTTGTCAACATTGTAATGGTTCCTGTCAACATTGCAGTGGTTCTTTTCCATCTCCAATTTTATGATCTCTGTTCCTCTTAAACATTCAGGGGCTGAAGATGCTTTTAAGCATGAAATATAACAAGCTATTGACTTGCCTATTAGAGCGGTTGCAATTCTCTTCCTGCTGGGATTAACCTTTTCATGATGCTTAGAATGATTGCAGTAACTGTATACTTGTAGTAAGGACATTCCTTTAATCTTGTCCTGTTATCATTGACCTCATAAAACCATGCAACAAGCAGAGTGGAGAAGCTGTTCAATAAAACAACTATACCAGGGGCTTGCAGCTTGGTATTTCTTTACCAAAACTAAAGGGTTTATTCCTCCACAGCATCACATGGTGTACATGCCTATACTCCAATATTACAGAGAGAGGCAGGACAAACTATTTCTGTAAATCTCAGTTCACTGCAGTTTCCCCCACTGTACACTAGTATGTTTATTACTCCAACCTTCTGAAATCTAGCAACCATTAGATTTTTATTCATGACTAAGCACTTTTTGTTTGTATTCATTAGGGTCAGAACATGTCTGTTCTGCATGATGTACACAAACATCTTATTTGGCAGTTTTAAAATAGATCTTATTTCTTATCCAACTGATTTCTAAAATTTTCTTGTGATGTTTGCAGAATTCAAATATGACTGAACTATTTGTGCAGCTGATATAAGAAGGATTTTTGAAAGACCCATCCAGAGAGTGATGGGACTCGTACCCCTGTTAAGTGGGAAGTGTGGGACTCAGCTTCTCTATAGCTCAAAGTAAAAAAACAAAACAACTCCCCCAAACTATACAAACATCACAAAAATTACTAGGGTTTTCTTTGTTTGTCAGTCTTAAGGGAGCCCAACTTTGAGAGAATCTGAAAGGACCTAAATATTCAGAGGGCAAGCTTTCATGTTTTCTGAAAGTTGGGTCTATTTTTTAGGTCTCATGTTAGTCCTCCCAGAAATCACTATCACTTTGGAATATTGAGGTCATTTTTTTTTTTCCAGATCAATGCAAGGAACAATTCCTTGGTGTTGACTGTTGCTTGTCATCTGTAAACATTCTGCTGTGCTTCTCTTCCCTTCTGGCAAGCTTAGTAGAATTTACCATTATGCTACTGTAGTCTTGCTGTTGCCAAAATAGCTTTTATTTTACATAGTTTTATACAGAAGAGCTGCCATTCTGTCAACAGCTTCCTTCTTTGTTCACAGTCAGGAAAGACATACTTTACTGGTGCCTAGATCTTGCAATGGCAGATGTTAGACATCCCTGGACACTTCATCGCTGACCTCAGAGTATCTGCTTTTAGATAACAAAGCTTTAAAGAATTAATTTGAAGAGAAAATTGCAGAAAAATCATCCACAAACTGGATTGTTAACTATGGTCTAAACCAAGATTATGTATTAACTAGTCCAGGTGTTTGGGTAGCTTCTATAAGACCCATGTCCCTCAGTGTGTTAATTGCTTTGCTTTTTCTCTTCTCTCAGCAATGTCCTCTCCTTCTCTTTCCCCGCCCCCCGACCCTTTCTACCCTTTGTGTTCTAAATACTGCTTTCTGTGTAGCAGCTCTGATGCTTGGCTGCCCTCTGCTTAGGAAAGCTTATGCTATACATCTCCATTAAGTCTATAAGGGGTGAGCAATTATTTAGGCTCAAGGGTCATTTAAGCAAGGGGCTGACATTATACATAAACTGGCTTAAGTGATCAGAAACTGGCTTAAACCTGTAAGAGAACAGATGTTCAGTGTACATAAACCAGTTTGAAAATGGCTGAAATCGATTTGAGATAAACCTGGTTGAATGTGGTATCAGACTGAACTGATTTGGCTCAAACCAGTTTATGCAATGTCTGCCCAAGATCCTTTGCTGGTTTAAGATAAACGAGACTCCTCCAGCATCCCGGCATGCTCTCTGGGTTGGGAGGGGCTCCCTGCTCCACAGCAGGGCTGGCCCCTTGCTGGAGCTCCAGCAGAGACTGCAGGCATTCCCAAAACAGGGATTATTCCCCCTGCCCCTCTGCCTTGTACCTTTTCAGCATTAGCTATCAGACCGCATGCTGGCTACAGTCCATGTTGTGGGAGAAGACCAAGGCAGATAGGCTTTTTGGAGCTAATCAACAGGTAGCTGTTTATGTTCTTCCTTGGAAAAGCTGTTTAAGAAGAGCTTGAACTAATGGAGAGAGGCTTTATTTTCTTACTGGGTTAATAAATACTGAGTTAGGGGCGATTTAAACATTGTCTACTGGGCTGCTCAGGAAGGCAAGGAACATCAGAGGGTCCTGCTGGGGCCTGGCCACTTCCCCCCCCGCCCCCGCCCCAGCTCAGCCCTGTGGAAGGGAAGGGAGGGCTGCTCTAGCACCCCCCAGCTTCTAGTCTGAGGCACTGAAGACATGTGCCCGAATTTTTTCAGTCCAGAGGGGATATGTGTGCAGTTACAAACCAGTTCAGCCTAGCCAGATTAGACTAGACTAACCTGCAAGGATTGAATCAATTTAGGCTCAGGATTTTTGAAAGTCTATCTCTAGCTTTAGAGTTTTGCTGAGCTGTCATAGGCCAGGTAAGCACCCCCCTTTCTGCCCTTGCAACAGCTCACCAAAACTCCCTAAATGGCTTCTGGCTCTGCTCCATGCTTGGCTGGGAGGCTGGGATGGGCCTGCAGCCAGGAAGGGAGCAGCATCTGGGAGTGGGATGAGTGGGTGGAGCCAAGGATGGGATCACGTGACAGTAACTTATTGTGCTGAAGGCAACAGAATAACCTTTAAATAATATAATAGCAACACAAGAAACAAATACGTACAACATCACATTACTATGTGATGTAGTGTGAAGAGAACTGTGTTAGCTTAAAGCAAGCTAGGTCAGTTACTGAAAGTTCCTTGCTGTGGTAACATGAAACTCCATGATCTACCCTGTGCAGCCTCGGCTAAACTCTCTGGCACCCTAGCTAGTTCACTGAGCTAGCCTTAAGTCATTTCAAACCTATGCTGCAATCTGCAGTGTAGATGTATCTTGTTGGAATTATGTTCCCTGTAATATGGACATGCCAAAGAAACCAGTGCAGAAGGGCAGCATTTGAAATGGTCAAGTAATGGGCAAGCATCAGTGAGCTGTGGAAACAGTTCTAACCTAGGCAATGCTCCAAGAGCACTCTTACATTGTTGCCTCTCTTCTCCAAGCAGCATAGCCCTCTGTATTAGAGGCAAAACTGAGGATATGTAATTATGACATTTTTTTAGTGATGCCAAGGATCTTGGTTTTCTGTTTAAAAATCCCAAATTCTTTGATTAGACTACCCAAAATATGAGCTCTTCCATGATTAAAATGAAATGCCACTCTGTCAGCTGAACACACTGTTTTACTGATATATACAATTTTAAAGCAATTTGGAAACCTTTCAGTGCCTCAATCATTATAATAAAATAAATTCTAAACACCTATATATTTTGGCATTTGATTTTTATTTTTCTTTATCATGGAAAATCAGAGCTCCCCCTGCCCCATCTGCTCACTGGGATATGGGTCCAGCTGTGGCTATTCCTCCCCCCACCTGACTCCTTTGTGGTACTGAGCAGCTCTGATATGCCAGTGCCCTGCCCCTACCCATGCTATTACCCCTCACTTCAAAGCCACAACCCCCCCCCCTCCAGCACTGCCAGGGCCTCTCACTCCTGACCCATGCCCCCCCCCCCCACAGTGTGTGAGGAAGGGGGTGGGGTATGTGGGCACAGGTGACACGCGGGAATATAGGTGGGGGGCAATAAGCAATGCATCATGGGGGTGGGGGGGGAAGTGTCCCCCAGAGCTCTGCAGCTACAGCTAGGCTGAACCAACTCTACATAGGAGTCACCTTCGCAGCCCAGCAGGCAGGACCTGGCATGGGAGGGAGTGTCATGTTGCCAAGGTGAGGTGCTGCAGCACAGAGTTGTGTGCCCTGATGCTGCTGGATAGGCAGGGGTGTCCCACCTTGGCAGCCAGGGTGGCATAGTGTTCCCTCCAGCACTGGGTCCTGCTTTGCGGACCACAGAGGTAGCTCCTGCCCAAAGCTAGTCCAGCCTGGTTGTAGCCCTGTATCATGCCATGGGTCCAGATATCAGGGATGGCACATGCCCCGCTGTCCTGTCACCTGTTCCTACCTGCACCCCACATGTTGTTTGTTCCCCTGAATGGAGCTGCAAGAGTTGCTCTCAGCCACCCTACCTGGCTGCTACATGCACGTGTACACATACACATGCACATGGTTCCCTCTGTATCCCGCTCCCATGAGCCCCAAGCAGCCTCTTGCTGGCTGGAACTCTTCCAGCCTGTAATGGGAAACCTGCTGTTTCCCAGGTTTTTCTTCTAAAAAGGAGAAAATATGCATTTTTCCACAGCAAATGGAAAACCTGGATTCCTGATTGTGACTAACAATTTAGGAAAAACATGACCCTCATCTAAATTAGTCCCAAATGTGTTCTTTGGAATATACTCAGCAGGCTCTAATGTCTCATTGTGACTTTATGTGATACTAATCTTATCTGGATACTTTTTTTTATTGTGAAGCTAACCCAGAAGAATGAACAGGCTGGCACACGATCTTCACAGTCTGGGTACTAGGTAAGAAGCTGATATTTCTCACCCTGTCTCTGTTCTCTTACCTGAATTCCATTACGGCTACCCTGCGTTGTACTGTTGTGATTATGTTGCCTGTAAATGTCATAGTATTCAGCTCTGTCTAGGATTCATAAAAACACATGGCTACAGGGAGGTGTCAAACTTTCATGTTTGCCTTTGAAAAATCCCTTCCTAGGTTTAATCCTGCAAGCCTTTTTGGGTTTGCTCACCCTTGGTATAATCTTAAATTTTCTATTTATAGAATGAGAGAGAGAATAATACAGACACCCGATGAGCTATAAATCAAGGCAACAGAAATCTGCAGGAACTATGGAGTTACCATCATCCACAGAATATTTAGAGATTGTCCAGGATACCAGATACACTCTGAAAGTTCTGTGCCGCCTCTAAGTCTGGAAGCTTGGTCACTTTGTTAGACCTTTATTACCTGAGTTTTTCAATTATGTTTGTAAGTCTGCTAATGAATTCCACACTTGAGATGAATCAAGTTCAAGCATGACTCTTGAAAGTGCATTTACAAACAGGTTTGGTCCAAAATCTGTTGGTCAATAAATTTTGTTAAACAGCATAAATCGCAAGCTCTGTGAAACAGACACCTTTTTCTTGTGTTAATGAAGTGCTCAGTAGAACTGTGTGAAATTTTGCCAGCTGTTTCATTTCAACGCTGTTTTTACTCATTTCGAGCTCAAAACAGTAAAATTGAAACAAAATAAAGGGTTTCAAAATGGCCTTGGAAAAAAAACCAAGAGCAGTTGAAATGTTTCAAGAGTTTTGAAACTCAAGCTGGGCTTGCCTGCAGGGAAACAGAAAGTAAGGAGGGAGGAGGAAGAGTGGGGAAGGACTGCTCTCATATTGACTGTATGTAGCTGGCCAGTGACTGTGTGATCTTTCCCTGAGGTCCCTTCTGATCCCAGTGCTCTGGCGGAGGGATGGAAAAACAGAAGAAAAGGCAGGATTGTTTGAACTGGCCTGCTTTTTCTCACCCATGTCACGAGTTTTGCTTGTCAGCAGCCTGAGGTGCAGTTTCCCAGAAATCCCAGCACCTATCTCCTTGAAACTTGGCAGGCTTCATGGCCTCAGAAGAGGCTACCATCCCTCCAAGTTTCATCTGAATCAGGAAAGAACTGACAAAGGTATAGGCAGTTTCACGGTTCCCCATTATAGCCTATGGGTAAAATGTCAAAACAGTTTTGACAAAACGGAACGGAACAGTGCTTTTGAAATGAAATGAAACTCAAAATGAAACACCATCCCGTTGAAACAGAAGTGGAAATGAAATGGTGCTGTTTTGCACAGTGCTAGTGCTTAGCATAATGGTCATTCTGACAGTGGCTCCTAGGCAGTACTGAAACAAGTATAAATAAAAAAATCTAGTTCCACTAGATTTACTGAAACTTGTTTTCAAATGTGGAGTCCAGGAGGCTACTGTATCTGCATCCTGATGAAAGGTGTATCTGAGACCCCAAATTCTGACTGGCATTTCTTTCTGGATTTTGAACTCTCCCTCATCCCCAAATGATATTGAAAGCAGCTGAAAGGCCCATCTTTACATGCGCTCTGGGGGGGGGGGGGGGGGGGGAATTTAATTAGTGCAACTCCGAGAACTGCACGCGTGGGGGGGGGGGGGAGGGGTGGAATTTAATTAGAATGGCTCCATTAAAGTGCCCACAACATCTCATGTATTTAGTGTCCTGCACTTCAGAATGGTGGCCGGATGCTTTAAATAAAGCTAATTCAACAAGCTTTAGTTAAGGCACCCCCACTGCCATTTTGAAGTGCAGGGATGCTGAATACATGTAATGCCAAGGCTGCAAGAGTGTGCCAATTTTAATTCAGTCTGCTCTGCTCGGAGCAGATGTCGGGCATGTGTATAGGTGCCCAAAGGGACCCAGAGCACATGCTGGGGTTTTGATTTGGGCATACTTCTAATTTTAGTTCATGGAATAGGTGGCAAAATGTATTTTGCTTTCCCCATTCTGTTGGCTTTGAATCCTAGAACCTGAGTATTTAGTCCTGGATCCTGCTTTTGGAATTTGTGTGACTTTTAAGTCTCTAAGTACAATCCAGTTTCACTGTACTGGAATCCTTGAAAAACCATTAATATGCCTACTTTTATAACACACCTGCAGCTTGGCTTTCAGCTAAGTCAATGGGAGGGGAAAACAGACCACCCATGATTTTCCTTTATAGGAAAAGGAAACCATCTATAACCATCTTGGTTATAGATGCCATTCACCCTAAAGGGGTTTGAACCCATGTCTCTAATGTCAAAGTGAAGTGTCCTAACCACCAAGCCATGGGCTAGTCAGGATTGAGGATGTTTTCTATCTGCCCTGTTAACACCAATATGCTGGAATGTGAAAACTGCATGATTCACAGGATCAGGGGGACAAAGGTAGCTACTTCTGGCAGCAGGCACTCTTTTTCAATGAAGGAAGCCTCGGGTTCTTCCTTCTGTTCTGTATTGCCCAGGGGTGGGCAATTATTTGGGTCAGAGGGCCATTTAGGGAGTTTTGGTGAGCTGTTGTGGGCTGGGTCAGCACCCCACCTTGCTCGTAACTGATCTAAGAGCAAAGAGGTGAGTGGACAAAGGTTAGGGGAACTTAACCTTTGTTCTTCCCTTCTCCCTGTACCTCTTCCTCTTCCCTGAGTCCCCGGCACACAGCCAGGCTAGGCTGGGGCAGTGCCACACTGTATTTCCATGCACCACCTTGGGCCACAAGGGCACAGCTGGAGTAGATAATGTCTGACCTGGCCACATGCTGGGAACCTGGGACAGGGAAGGCGGTGCAACAAGAGAGGGGAAACACAGTGTGGCACTGTCCTGGCCAGGCCCAGGTAACCTGCAGTTCCTGGCCCTCTTCTCCCTGCACCCCCTCTCTCACCCTGAGTCCCCAGCACCTGGCCAGGCTGTACCAGTGCTACACTGTGTTCCTATGTGCCACTTCAGGCCACCTGGGTGCAGCTGGCATGACTCCTTCCCAATCTGGCCATATGCTGAGGATTTTGGGGTCAGGCAGGAGCTGTATCAACCACTCCAGCCGCACCCACATGATGCAGCCTGAAGCAGCATGCAGGAACACAGCACAGCACTGCATTAGTGGTGTCTACATCACTACTAGGCCCTGGCATGGCCTGGCCCAGCAGGGCTTGGATAACCCATAGCTCCTGGCTCTCTTACTTCTGCATCCCTACCCCACCAGTGGGGAGAACTTTATCTGAGCTTCGACTTGCCAGGGGCAGGCCGTCTGGTCTGTGAATGGTTGCAGAGTCAGAGCTGGGCACAGACAGCCTTGCTGGGGAGAAGCCTGGCCAGGAGTTCAGTGCCCCCTGTCTTGGAGCATACACTGGGGGGCTAGGTAGGGGAGTTGCTGCTACTGCTGCAGCCAGCTGGCATGGGTGAGAAATGCCGAAAGCCTGGGCAGCTACAGGCCGGATACAATTCTCCTTCAGTGGAACAGCCGCATGCCAGATAAAATCACTTGGTGGACTGTATTTTGCACCCTCTGTGTAGCTAGAATCCAGGGCTCCCTCTTTCCCGGGGGAGGCTATTGAAATTTCATTAGTAAGCATGTGCAGGATCTGATTCTAAAGGCAACATTGTGTTAGTCTCTATGTGACCATAGGAGAGAATAAAAAGTTTATTCATGAAGTGTTCCATGACATTCTGTACTTTGGAAATAACATCCTTTTTTGGGGAGAGGGGGGAGCAAGGGAAGTGGACTTCTGAGGGCCTCTGACTACATGTATTATTTTCCACTGATAATCAAGAGTCAATAAATATATTTGCATATATTTATTCATACATATATTTATCTGTAAACCATTTTTTTTTCACAATACTGTCTTTTATTTAAAATTCAAGAGCAAGGCTAAGAAATATACATACAAACAACTAGCTAAGTTATAAGATACATTACTGAAACCTGTCAATTAACATCAGCGTTATTGTATCTATTCAATACCATAAAAGGCAGTCTTTGATTTCTGTCTCATAGCATTTGTAACCTTTCATGACTTCACAGTGGAAGAGATTAGATGCATATAGAAGGAATGTTAATATCCATATATATGATGTTTGGTTTTTTATGACATCTGTCTCTCCTTGTGAGAAAAGAGAAGTATACCCCTATGAAGAGAAATGAGATTAGCTACCCAGCATTCCTTACGTCTTAACTTACTTTTAAAAAGTTAACCACACAAGCTATATAAATAGGATTTATGTAGTAGACCACAGCAAAATAATTATTGTAGGTGAATTGTTTGCAAGTGTAATGTGGGATAAACTTGTGAGTGCCAACCATAAAAATGGCTCTGTCCCATAAACGAACAGAACTAATAAATGTAATATTTAACCACAGGAAATCAAATATGCTTTCATTTTTTAGGATAGAAATTAAATATTTATATACTACCAATGCAGGAAAAGGCACCCAGATTATGTGAATAACAGAATTTAATAGTGCTGTTTTGAGTTCTTTCACTACAACCATTTCAATAAGAATACACCACAGTAACTTTGTGACTCATTCATTATTTGAAAGCTGCCTGAGTAAGGGCTGTACATACTTAATGCTGGGTTCCAGTCGCTTGAATTCATTCATGATAGAAATACTTCTGAATCATGCCATATTCAGATATCCCTTTGTCCAGGATTTACAGTACCAGGAGGATCTTGAAAGATGTGTTTTATCTCCTGGCTTCCACAATTTATTGATTTTGGGCCCCTTCAAGTAAGCTCTGTCACTTGGGATATGTCTACAGTACTGAGTTAATTTGGCACCTCCAATTTAGCATCCGTGTGTTAGCAGCCACACTTCAAGCCATGCTCACATTTCTGTGACCTCACAGTAACTAAGCTCCATGTATGTGTCCCTATGTCACCTGCCCCCTGGTTCTTTGTGCTGTAGGAAGCTGAATTATTCTAAGACTCTTTTCCAGTGACCTGTGGGAGAATGCCCCTGTCTTTCTGAGCATATTGGGGTAATTGTGGGGAAGAAATGGAGAGCTATCATCACTCAAGTGATTTAGCCTGTGTCCTGGTAGGTTACCAGCCTGAGTAAACATGACACAATTTATACTCTATTTATCCAACCAGTTTATCTAGCTCAGGTGGAAAGTACCATCAGACTCAAGTAAGAGAGTTCTGCATGTGCACAGGAATGAGTTTAGGGAAGTAGCATAATGAGGAGTGGGTGATCAGAGCACCAGGCACCCACTGAAAGGGTGTGCAAGAATTGCCATCCCTGCTGCAGCTGGGCTGACCCCCACTGCTGCTATTTCCACCCAGATTATGGACCTGGGTTGTTATGCTACTAGGTAAGGGATCCAATAGTGCCATTTTGAGTTCTTTCATTACAACCATTTGTGAAGACCCAACAATACTTGGGGTGTTGTGGGTTATGACCACCTCAGTCTTATGATACTGGATGGTTCTGTTCTTATTGGTTAAACTTTGGCTAGATACCACATAGGTGTATAGCAACAGGTGACTTCCAGGGGCAGATATAGAGTGGGTACAATGGTGTGGCTACACCCCATTTCTGACCATGATGCAGGAG